TAACTTTGCTTTCCTGCATCTTTTTTTTTAAAAATTCTTCCTTTTTTTGTGGATGTAGAGTTGATTTACAGTGTTGTGCCAGCCTCTGCTGTCCAGCAAAGTGACTCAGTTATACACATAGATGCGTTCTTTTTTTAATTATGGTTTCCATTATGGTTTATCCCAGGAGACTGGATATAGTTCCCCGTGCTACAGAGTAGGACCTTGTTGTTTATCCATGCTTTCCTGCATCTTAACTCAGGGTCTTCGGGGTCCAGGGATACTTTGCATGCAGGTTATCGCTGCGCCAGGAAGGGTCCCCGCCCGAGTGTGGAGTCCAGGCATTTGGGAGGCTGCTGTGTGAAGGCCGAGGTAAGCCAGGGAAGGGTGGGGGTACCACACACATACCTGAAATAGCCAACCCTGCGCCCTCCGCCACCCCGACAAGGACCGCACTCCCAGCTCTGCCCCACGCAGTCTACTGGCTCAGCTTTTCCCTCGTCTGTCACGCCACAGAGCCAACCCAGCCCCGTCCATCTCACAGCCTCCGCTCTGCTCCACTCACCAGACTTCAGCCAGTGCCGCCTTCTCCAGCCTCTGTCTTCCCAACTGTAAAATGGGTGGAGGCTGGTGGTGAACCAGATCCTAAAACGTGAAGATCCTAAGAACCCCCTTCCCGCAGGTGTCCCGAACCCCTCTATTCCTTTCCTATCCCTTGTGTCCACTTTCTTCTGAGAACATGGTGCAACCCTGGTGAAGAGGAGGGGGTGGCTGGGGTGTGGGAATGGAGTCGAAGGGGAGCCCTATGGGACCAGCCTGGACCCCAGCAGGAGCACGGCCCTGAGGCTGTGGACAGAGACAGAGGCCAGCCCTGAGTGACCCTGGGAATGGCAGGGGCTGCTCTGCTCAGCACACTTGGCACTACCTGCGGGGCCCTTTGGATGATGCAAAGCAGCAGTAGCTGCTGAAAGGGTCCTGGAGCTGCCAGCGCCTCACCTGGCGGGGAGCACAGGCCCCTTTCTCTTGGGCACACCCCTACCAGCGGGGCTGTCAGCTCGGCCTCTCTCTGCGCTGCTCTGCCCAGCAGGTCACTGGCGCTGCCTGGTCATTCCGGGCTCCAAAGTGGACATCACCAGATTGGGACAATGATTGCAAGGAAGGGCTTTGGAGCCCGCGCGTGGGTCCGTATCCACCTCCTCCACTTGCTAGCCCGGTGGGCCAGTGGCAGTCCTAGAACACACAGCCCTTATCATGTGAACAGTGCAGAACAGCGTGTACCCAACAAATAAGAGCAGAACCCCTTGAGGAGCTGGGGAGGCAGAGGGGAGACACCCCAGTGATGGCTGGACCAGGGAGGGACTCATCCCAGAGCATCTTTGGGCCATGACTGCAGCCCTGCCTGAAGCAGAAGGTTTTGGGGTCCCATCACATTTTTGGAAGTATGAGCTGCGATCTGAATTAAAATTACTGAATGATTTTACCCAGAAAGAGTTCCCAGCTCTTGCTTTTGGAGTTGTCAGAGGTAGAAGGGGCCCTACAGAACATCTAGGCTTCTCCGGCAAAACCCAGAGACAAAGGGGAGGGAGAAAGGATCCGCCCCCAACCAGGGAAGATCTTGTTCAGTCTGTTTGTGTACCTCATGACAAACAGAACTTCTGGCAAAAAGCTGAAGACGACGGAGCTAGTGCCTAACCGTAAAGATGGAGAAACTGAAGCCGCCCAGAGAGGGAAAATAACTGGCCCAAGTCCACACAGCAAACCAAGGTTAGAGTTGGTGGCTAGGCTCGTCCTGCCTGGTTATCCCATGCTTGTCTGGTGCGCCCATTGAGCCCCCAGTCAGAAAGCATGCTCCCAAAGTGTGGGTCCAGCCGGCCCCTGGGTCTCCCTAAACAGCTAGCGCTTTCCCATCAAGTCAAAAAGCAGGTCTGCAGCCTGGGGGAGGCTGGCTGCTCCCAGACCCTCAAGGATCTGGGTGAGTGGATGTGGGTGGAATGGGGGGTGGGCGGTACACTATGTCTGGGAGGCAGAGCTCCCACCCAGGTACCACCCCCCTGAGCCTTGCTGAACAGTGCATTTCTCTCTCCATTCCCCCCAGAGCTGGGGGACCCCATCACTCCCGCTGGGCTTGGGTGTGTGCCCATCCCCGCTCCCTCCCCCGGGGCCACCACCCCACCTACTCATAACTCTTGTCTTAGCCACATCCCTCATTACCTCTAATGAGCCAACCTAGGGACAGAGGGACCCGGGCAACATTTTAATTATGCTTCTAATTGCTTCCTAGGAGGAGGCTGAGTACCTGCCCAAATTTCTCCCGGACGGACCCACCCAGGCTGACGTTCTCTCCTTAGAGACACGCCCACGTCAGAGGGGAAGGGGTGAAGGAGGAGCTGGACCAGGGGCTGGAGGGGTTCCCGGGTCCCACTCAGGGCTGACACACCCCCTCCTCACTTCCCCAAGTAAAGAAGCTTTTGGGATGCCTGTGAGTGTGGAAAGGGTTTCGAATCGGTAACGTTCTGACTCTGCCACTCGGTGACTTTGGAGAAGGTGGCCATGTGGCCTCTGGAGCACCTCTCTGCTAGAAGATGGGGACACCAGAGTCTACCTACCGGGGCCACGAGGCTGAACGGAGACCACACCCCCGGTAAGTGGAGGGGAAGGAGGGCGGCACCTTTCCCGGCTGCAGCCCCAGCCCCACGCAGGTCCGGTACCTCCCTCGGTTTAATAACAACTTGGGGGACTTCTCTGGTGGTGAAGTGGATAGGACTCCGCGCTCCCAATGCAGGGGGCTCGAGTTCGATCCCTGGTCAGGGAACTAGATCCCACATGCATGCCACCAACTAAGGCGGCTGCGTGCCCCAACTAAGAAGCTGGCGAACCGCAACTAAAGGAGCCCTGGAACCGCAACTGAGGAGCCTGCCTGCCACAACTAAGGAGCCCACGTGCTGCAACTAAGGAGCCGGTGAGCCGAAACTAAGGAGCCCGCCTGTCGCAACTAAGACCTGGTGCAACCAAATAAATAAATAAATAGTAACTTTAAAAAAAAAACTTGGCAAACACCACGGCAGTGACGGTGTCTGCATGCAGCCCAGCCCTGTAAGAACAGCACGATGCCCATTTAACAGATGGGGAGGATGAGGCACAAAGTGGCTGCGTGACTAACTGCCCGAGGGCCCCCAGTGGTAAGTGGCAGTCGGGACACCAAATCCCAGAGCCCACAAGGGCCTGCCCAGGCTGATGGGCACATGAGGCGTTGTCCTTCCAGAAGCTGGAGAGCAGTGCAGGAGGGGCGGGCCCCAAAGAGACAGAGAGAGAAGCCACCTCAGGCCCCCGAGTGCCGTCGGGGCTCGGGCAGCCCCAGCACCCTGAATCCGCACCCTCACCCCTATCCACCCCTCCCCCACAAAAAGCAGAGACAGACACCAGGCATGCTGTAAGGCCTTTTATTTTAATGTTTCCTTGCTGTTTTAACATTTTCACGGAAAAAAAAAACACCACGGTTTAGAATCTGGAACTGACCGCTGTCTAGATGGGTTTCAAGGGCAGCAGCTGGCAGGGGCTGCACGGCTGGAAACCAGTGGGCACCCAATTCAAGAACTAAGGTAGTGTCTGAGTCCGGATCTGGCAAAACTCAGGAGGCTAGGGCAGCCACACCCGCCGCCAGCCCTGGCTGGACCCCGTGGCAGTTCTGTCCGTCCCCCTCCCTCCACTGGCTATGAGGCGACAGGAGAAGGTGAAGTCAGCCTGTTGCCAGGACAGAAAAATCATCATCCGTGAATCCTGGGGGCTCGCACCCAACCTCCACTCAATCCCCTTGGGTGGGGTTCTAAGGGCGCAGAGTGAAATCTGAATTTCAGAAAGACAACAACTAATTTTTTAGCATGGGTGTATTACAAATATGGCGTGGGGCATACTTACACTAAAAAATTATCCTCTGCACGCCTGAAACTCTAATTCAACTCAGCATTCAGGTTTTTGTTTTGTTTTGTTGCTAAATCTGGCAACCCTATACCCTCAGGACCACTGACTCAGAAGTGGGGAAGGGGGCTCTGCTGGCAGAGGCCTGAGAAAGGAAAGGGACATAGTCAGTCCGGGGGTTGAACAACCCACAGTCAAAAGAGGTCTTATCCCCCCATAGGAATGACATTTTTTAATAATCATTTTCCAGAAATTTTCTACACTGGCTGCCTGTTGTTGTTAATAGCTATGGGGGAGGGGGCCGAGGACAGACACGCACAGTCCTCCACCCCATACAGTTCTAAATAAAGTTTGGAAGCACTTAGTATAAAGGTTTTCTAAAAGGATTCATTTTCCTTCTGGTGGCAGGCCTACAAACACCGTTCCTGGTATCGTTCTAAAAAGACTTAAACACAACAAGAACAAACAAACCCAGAGGGACTGAGCAAGGCCTGCAGCCTGTCCTAGTGTCATCCTGCAAGGGCCCCCTCTTGAAAATTCAAGATGCCCCGGGGCCTTCCTTCCGTTCTGCATCCTGTTCTCACCCCACGGAAGGGGTCGCGTTGAGGGTACACATTCGGTCCGCCTTTCCTCCGAGGGGCTCCCCGTGCAGGAGCTGGGGATGGAGGGAGGGAGGGAGGGGCCAGGACTTGTGACCTGTCACGGGTGTTTTATTCCGGCGGCCACCGCCGGGCACAACAGAAACACCAGGAGTAAAGAGGCAGGTCAAGTGTCCTTAGCCCTGGCGCCCCTGGCTGCCCTGTTATCGCTGCACGTGGCAGAGACTCAGGTTGACAGCGGACATCCACTGGAGGCCGGGAGAGGAAAGCCGAGTCCTGCTGCGAAAACACAGCCCCGTCCTACAAGCTCAGGCAGGGCAGGGTGTGCAAAGCAGCCAGGCACCCGAGCCAGCTCCAAGTCCTCCGAGGGCCCCCAGGCTCGGCCAGCGCCCCTTATCCATGAGGTCCAGGGTCTGTCTGGGGCCCGCAGCCAAGCTCCTGGCTGACCTTGCAGGGCTGGGGGCACAGGGAGCAGACAAAGCCAAGAGCCCCCACCTCCGGCCGGCCTCACACTCGGATCTCGTCGTCCTCCTCCTCGTCCATGAAGGAGAACTCGGGGTCCGGCTGCGTCGGCAGCGCGGCCCGGGCCCGGCCCGGCCCCCGGAAGGCGGGGCTGCGCTCCTCCAGGACCCCCGAGGCGCAGCTCGACAGGGAGCTGCTGTCCCGCGTGGTGTGGCTGCTGCCCCCGCTGCGGGCCGAGCCGGGGCTGGGGGCCCCCGCGGCCCAGCCCTCCTCCGGCAGCGCGCGCGAGGGCAGCGCGGGTAGGTCCGGGCCCCCCGCTCCTTCCGGCCTTGCCGGGGGAAGGGCTGCCGCCGGCGGCGGAGGCGGGGCAGCCTGGGTGGGGCCGCCTGCTGGGTCCTCGTCACCATGGCAACCGGCCTCCCCCTCCTCCTCCGGTTCCCACTCCCCCTTGTCCATGATGCTGAGGACGTCGCCCAGCATGGAGGGCCCCAGGTCGATGTGGAAGGACATGATGGACTCGGCGTGCTTCAGCCCAAAGCTGGCCTTGGGCACCACGGGCAGATCCGCCAGGTCCCCGAAGGCCTGCTCGTCGAGGAGGGGGTCTGGGGAGTGGGGGGCGGAGGCCCCATTCCGCCGAGGCCCCGCCTCCTCCGGGCCGCCCTCCCCCGTGGCCTTCCTCACGGGGCTGGAGGACAGGCTCTTGGGCAGCTTGCTGGAGCCCTTCTCGGCGGCCTCCTTCTCGTTCAGCTGAGGCAGGGACATGGCGTTCTTGACGAAGAGGGCCGAGTCCCGCAGGGGGCCCAGCACGTCCCTGTGATCCCGGTCGCCCCTGCTCACTGACTGCGACCGCTTGCTGCCCCGGAACTTCCGGGACAGGAGGCCGCGCTTGGAGGAGGCGGCGGCCTGCTCGTCCACGGACTCACTGTCCAGCTCCCCAGCCTTGCTGTTGAGGAAGGAGGTGTCCCCAAAGGCGTCCCCCGCCCGGCCCACGTGCATGGTGTGGCGGAAGTCGCCCAGCGGGGCACTGATCATCTCGGCCGTGAGGTCCACTCGGGAGCGGCGCTTGGAGTGCACGGAGCTGGACACCAGCTGCTTGAGGATCGGCATCTTGCCGGGGGCGGGGGGAGGGGAGGAGGGGGTCCCCTCCAGAGACAGCAGGCGGATCTGAGGTCAGATCTGAAGTCCGGCGGGCGGAGGGGGCGATAAGTAGGAGATCATAGGGCTGCAAGAAGAGAACAGCAGGGAAAGGGTTAACCCAGCTGTCCGCTCAGCACAAAAGCCCATCTGCCCAGGGGTGGTTGTTATTTAAACCTCCGCTCACCTCTTTGGAGCTCAAGTAGCCACAGGCACGCTCTCCCTGAGACTTGAGCGAGAGAGCCCTCTTCTAAAGGACAATGCCTCCCGCACCCCGCAACCAGGATGCCCCTAGAGGCGGAGGTACCCAGGCAACTCCAGGCAGCCGACCCGGGAGAGACGTGACTCCAGTGAACAGCCAGTCCGGAGACACGCTGTAAGTTAGTTCTCCCTGCTGCCTGACCTCAGCCCCTGTGGAGTCAGTGGACACCTCATTCTGAGTCACGGTCCTTAGAGGAGGGAGAGGACGGCAAGGCCCCAGGGAGGCGCTGCCTGGCACCTCCACAGACGTGAGCGGCGGCTCAGTCTCTGAATCAGAATCGGGTGGAGCTGCCGGGACCCACAGGACCAGCTCCCCAGCCCTCCGGCCCGTGGTGGGTGTCCCGACAGGTGAGGATCCTGCCTGCGACGTCTCCACAGTGGAGCCCCGAGCTCTTTGTCGAGGATCCACCCTCCGCCTCTCAGAGACCAAGACTGGGAAACTCCCAGTGTCTTTAATCACTAGGGGTGCAGGGAGGCGGAGACTAAACCCTAGATGGCCGAGGCGCCCTGGGAATGCAGACCCCCAGGTGATTAACCTGGGCCAAAGAGCGTCAGCAGGGAGGCCAGGAGAGCCTCTGAAATCCCGTGCAGCTCCTGGCAAGGGCCAAGTTGGAGTCCAGTGTTGAAGCCAGACCAGCCCCCAGTGCTAAACCCAGCAGCGCAGGGCTGAGCAGAGTGGGGTCATGTGGGCGCAGGGACTTAACCAAGGCTGGCGGGTGAGGGGGTGGTCCTGGGCCACCAGTTCTGCTAACAGCACAGCTCTCATCGGCTCCCACATTCCAGGCCCATCCTCCCCGTTGCCAAGAGCAACCCAGGATGTCCCACCGGGTTTCTTCCTCACCGCCCCCCCCATGCTGCCCTAAGCTAGGCCACCACATCCCAGTTGGCCCTGCTTCCCCTTCCCCCATCCTTCACTTCACCTTTCGGCTAAATCAAAACCCAACCAGCACTCCCCAGTGCAGACCCCCCCGGTCCGACACCCGGTCCCCGCCTCACTCCTCGCTGCTCCCCTATCCCTGAGGTCCGCCCTGGCCCTGAGCTTCCGTCTCCCGGACTCCAGGGCTGGACACGCACGGCTCCCTGCTAGAATACCTGTCACCTGGCTCACCCAACGTCTTCCAGGGCTCAGCTGAGCTGTCACTTCTTCCAGTAAAGCTGCTTTAGCTCGGGTGAGACCTCCCGACCACCTCCTGCCTGACCCCCAGCACTGTGGACGTCCTTGCTCCCAGCAGGCACTGGCTCTGTCATTCTACCACTGCCGGCTCGGCTTGACTGTCATCTTCCCACTCAACTGTGAGCTTCCGGAGGGCTCCAAAGGGGCCTGTCACCACTGAATCCCATCCGGCAGTGCATGGCACAGTCGATCCTCAAACACCTGTTGAAAGGCCAACACCTCCCTCCCACCCCCCACCTCCACCCCAGCCCCCTGGTTGCTCCCTTTCTGCCTTCCTGAGCCCAAGGACAAGGTCACTTCAGCCTACGGCCCCGGCTCCAGGGCTCCCAGCCTGACCTCTCTGTGCCCTCTAACCCCCTCCCCATGCTCTCGTTCTTTGTTCCTTGCCCCGCTGCTGATGCCCAGCCAGATGGTCCCCCCCCCAACCCCCAGGCAGTCATAGCGCTTGTCGCTCCAGGGCAGGGGAGGGTGGTGAGACACCGGGGCTCACCTGCCACACAGGTGAGCCCGGCTGGGCGGACTCAGGTGAGGACTCCTGAAAGGCCTTGAGATGACCCACTACAGTCGGTCAGCTCCCCCTCCTCTCTCTCCTCCTTCCCCCCAGACCCTCAGGAAAGTTCGCTTCCCCTACCTCTGAGCCGGCCCCTCGCTCCTGCCCATGCCCTGGGATCTAACGTCTAAACAATTAAGACACGGAACAGCTAGACCAGGTTTTGGCACACGTTTTCCATAAAGGTCCAGGCAGCAAAGGTTCTCAGCTTCATGACTGACACGGTCTTGGTCCCAGCTGCTCAGCTCCACCTTCGCAGTGGCAGGAAAGCAGCAGTAGACCGTATGTAAACAAATGGGCATGGCTGTGTCCCAATAAAACTTTATATATAAAAACAAGTGGTGGGCCAGATTTGGGCCATAGTTTGCTGACGCCTAAACTAGACACGTGAAAAGTACTGGCCTTAGGGTCATCCCCTCCACATCGCTCCAGGAGAGAGTCACCATATGTGACCCTCTGGGCCAGCCATGGGCTCTCGGGCCAACGCTGGGGAAAACTCTCTTTGGCTAAACAAGAGGAGAGGATGGAGTGAGTCGGCCTCAGACGTGTTCGGCACCGAAGAAAATCAAACCAGGTCCCTAAGGCACTCTTGGTACTGGAGGATCCCTCGGGCTTCTGCTGCCACCAGGGCAGTGAAGCAAGAAGAGAAAGGGTCCACATCTTCAACCTGCCTGCGGCTCAGCTCCTGGCTCTGGTCACAGAATCCTGTGTTCTTCGGCTCTTCCATTTTTCAGATGAGAAAACAAGTTCACTGAAGCAAAGTGACTTATCCAGATGTATGTGCCTAAGAGCAGAGCTGGGCTGGAAGCCGGTCTCCTGGTCCAGTACTCTCTCTGCTCCATGCCAGGCCTTTGGTGGGTAGCATCTCCGGTCAGTTACCCTCCCCACTTCTGGCTGGAAGAGTCCAGGGAAAGGAGAAGCCTGGCCGCTGCCTCAAGAAGATTCCTCTGTTACCCTGGAGCAGATTCTGACACTGCTGACACCTTTAGCCAGAGAATTCTCTGTTATGGGAGCCGTCCTGCACATTGTCAGATGTTCGGTTGCATCCCTGGTGTCTACCTACCAGATGCCAGTAGCATCCCTCCCCTGCTTGTGACAACCAAAATGTCTCCAGACATGCCAAGTGTCCCCTGGGGGGGCAACCCTGCCCTGGAGTGAGCGCGCACATGTGAAAATAAAACACATACTAATCACCAGGTGAACAGAAAAACAAACAAATTTAAAAAAAGAAAAGAAAGAAAGAAAAATGAAAAAAAGAAAGAAAAAAAAAGAGAGGGAGGGAGGGAAGGAGGGAAGGGAGGGAACGTAAAGGATCAGGACTGCGGGATCAGTGACATGAAGCTCCAGAGCTGCGTAAGGGTTTCAAAGTAACGGCAGGAATCCCCAGAGCCAGTAAGCGTCAGGCGCTGCGGTTTCCCTGATCTTAAGTGCTTATTAAAAAGAACAGAAAGGGAAACCACAGGCCCAGCTGCCCAGGGCTTGGCAGAGATGGTGCAGACCCCTGTGGCCACTGGCAGGGACCAGGCATCCTGGCCATCGCGGCTACAGGACAGAAGGGCCCCCATCCCTGGCACGTCCTCGAGGGTAGAGCTCGAGATCAGGATAAGAGGGGCTGGCTGGCAGCGAGGTGCCTAGGCCCCCGCACAGCCCCACAGCCCAGGAAGGTAGAGCAGGTCCGGCCAGTGCTTATCTGCCGTCTGTGGTCTCGCTCCCTGGGGGTGTGGGAACGAGGCTTTGTGGCTTGTGAAAAACCAAACCATCTTCAGTATACAGCATGAAAATGTCCCAAGTCCTGAGAGCCGGGGCCCAGATGGAGTCCCCCACTGGTCCCCCAGCCCAGCAAGGAGGGGCTGCAGCAGCCCTGGGGCCCTACAGCTAGCTAGAGCTCAGGCTGGACAGGCCGGGCTTCAGGGCTGGCAAGAGCTCACTCACCAGGTTGTTTTAAATCCTTGGTTTCATGGTACCCTCATGACACTGTCAACCTAAGCTTTGAACAGAGAGCAGTTTGGGGGTGAGGAGGTGGAACTCTGAGAACAAGTACGGGCAGGTGCCCTGGGCCAGTCCTGGGGGCAGTTTGGGGGGGCCTGAGCACCCACCCGGAAAGGAACTGTGCACAGAGAGCCGCGGCTTCGGGAGGGGGCGCGGCTAAGCCCTGTGACCCAGCTCTGGGGACGTGGCTAAAACAGGCCGCCAGATGACAGGCAGCCGCTCCCCACAGCCCGCCCTGCGGGGGACTCCCCGACCCTGCCACCCCGGAAGCCACATCCCCCTTTCCTGGCACAGCAAGGGAAAACAGAGCAGCAACTCGCATCTCTCCAGCCTCTGCTGGAATCAGATTCCGCTACCCTTGGTCCACTGACTACAGGACATTCCTGCAAGCCAGGGGTGACTAGCCCGCCCTGCAAGGCCAGGCCCCCGGCTGCACTGACACCAAGCACACCCTCAGCTCAGCTCAGCTCAGCTCAGCTCCCGGGACGGGAGAGGACAGCCCTGGCCTGGACCCTCCCTCGTCCTCCCCGGCGGGCCGTCCAGAGAGCACTGCCCTCCCACCTCAGCCCAGCAGCTCCCAGACAGACCCGAGCTCTCCCGGGGAAGCCAGGCAGGGCCCCCGCCATGCAGCTGACCTGGAGGCTCACCCTGGCACACAGAGCACACATGCCTGAATGCCCACTGCCACGGCCACCGGGCAGCCAGCCCCGCCATCACTATGCCCCCTTCTCACCACCCATCCCGTTCGATTCCAGCCCCCAGCAACGCGGCATTTGACACGATGACTTCGGTCGTGGCTTGGACTGGAAACAAGTGGCTTCGTTCCCTTATTCATTCATTCATTCACTCACTCACTCACTCACTCACTGACTTACTGCACACCCACCAATTTCCCCATAACTCCTCTGGGCCCTGGAGACAGAGCAGTGAAAATAACGAGGCGGATGAGCCCAGACTTCCTGGGCACACTTGTGGTGTGAGTGTGGGTGGGTGGGCGAC